TTTGGGAAGGTCCATCAAGCCGATGATGAAACCTTGAAGATTGTCGGAAAAGGAGACATCTAATTAAAGTTGTCAAACCAGACCACCTGTACGCTGAAGGGAGTGAGACATATTCCTGGCCTCAAAAGAAACTGTAGGGCAGCTTGATGGAGAAAGATATAGTACAACCTTTTCAGGATGTGAATGAAAGATTACCAAAGGCACACTCGTCATTGCTCGTGGTAAGAAGAATGATACTCTCTATATAACCTCAAATTTAGAGAATATCATTGCAGTAGCAGATGCTGATGGAAAATCAAACCTATGGCACCAAAGGCTTGGCCATATGAGCGAGAAAGGGATGAAGACACTTTTGTCAAAAGGGAAGCTGCCGGATCTAAATAATGTAGATGTCGGACTATGCGAGGATTGCATCTTTGGCAAACAAAAGAAAGTCAGCTTTGCAAAGATTGGTAAGACACCCAAGGCTGAAAAGTTAGAGTTGGTTCATACTGATGTATGGGGACCATCTCCAGTTCCATCTCTTGTAGGCTCATTATATTATGTCACATTCATCGATGATTCAACAAGGAAGTTGTGGGTTTATTTTCTGAAGAAGAAAGCAGAAGTCTTTGATACCTTCAGAAAATGGAAGGCCATGGTGGAAAATGAGACTGGTATGAAAGTCAAGCGATTGAGGTCTGACAACGGAAAAGAGTACATAAATAGGAGATTCAGAGATTTCTGCGCAAACAATGGGATCAAGATGGAGACAACAGTTCCCATGACACCGCAGCAGAATGGCGTAGCAGAGCGCATGAACAAAACTCTGAATGAACATTCCAGAAGCATGAGGATACATGCCATATTGCCCAAATTTCTATGGGCTGAAGCTATCAACACTGCAGCTTACTGATCAACCATGGGCCCTTAGTTCCTTTGGATGGAAGAATACCAGAGGAAGTTTGGAGCAAGAAAGAAATAAACCTTTCACACTTAAGACTTAAGAGTGTTTGGTTGTATTTCTTATGCACACATAGATTCTTTTGAAAGAAATAAACTTGATGCCAAGTCCAACAAATGCATCTTTGTTGGTTATGGTGGTGATGAGTTCGGTTACCGGTTTTGGGACTATAAAAATCGGAAGATCATCAGAAGCAGAGATGTTATTTTCAATGAGAATGTGGTGTACAAAGACAGGTCAACTGTAGAATCAAGCAACTACAATACCAAAGCTGAAACAAAGGAATTTGCTGAGTTCGAGGAGATTTTGAAATGATGTTCAAATCAGTCCTGAAGTAGTTCAAGAAGAACCAGTCACACCAGAACTAAGACGCTCCTCAAGAATTCTTAAACCAACCCAACGGTATTCTCCTTCTTTGCACTACTTATTGTTGATTGACAATGGTGAACCAGAGTTCTATGATGAAACAATGCAAGTGGAGGATTTAGTCAAGTGGGAGTCTTCCATGAAAGATGAGATGGACTCGCTTATGTCAAATTAGACGTGGGAATTAGCTGAATTACCACCAGGCAAGAAAGCTCCAAAACAAGTGGATTTACATGATCAAAGAAGAGCACGATGGAGAAAACGTTACAAAGCAAGATTGATTGTCAAAGGCTTTCAGCAAAAAGAAGGTATTGACTACAATGAAATTTTCTCTCCAGTTGTGAAGTTGTCTACAATCAGGCTGGTGTTGAAAATTGTAGCTGCAGAGAATCTACATCTTGAGCAGTTAGATGTGAAGACAACTTTCCTTCATGGTGATTTGGAGGAAGAAATCTATATGAGGCAGCCAGAAGGCTTCATAGAGGCATGCAAGAAAAACCTGGTATGCAGGTTGAAGAAGAGCTTGTATGGTTTAAAACAAGCTCCTAGACAGTGGTACAAGAAGTTCAATAGCTTCATGGGTAGCAGTGGTTTTACCAGATACCAAGCAGATCATTGTTGCTACATCAAGAGGTTCGACAATAGCTTCATTATTTTATTGTTGTACGTTGATGACATGCTCGTTGCAGGCTCAGATATGCAAGAGATTATAAACTTAAAGAAAAAATTGTCGAAGCAGTTTGCTATGAAGGATCTGGGCGCTGCAAAGCAGATTCTTGGGATGAGGATTAAGAGAGACATAAAGTCGGGGACTTTGATGTTATCACAGGCTGAGTACATCAACAAAGTACTCTCCAGGTTCAATATGCAAGATGCTAAACCAGTGAGTACACCTTTAGGTGTTCATTTTAGACTCTCCAAAGAACAGTCACCAAAGACGGAGGAAGAACGTGCACACATGGTGAAGGTGTCGTATGTCTCTGCAATTGGAAGTCTGATGTATGCCATGGTTTGTACCAGACCAGATATTGCTTATGCAGTGGGAGCTGTTAGCAGGTACATGAATAATCCAGGCAAGGTACACTGGGAAGCAGTCAAATGGATCCTCAGATATCTGTGGGGTACCACAAACAAAGCACTTTGTTTCAAAGGTGTAGATACGATACTGACAGGCTATGTAGATGTTGACTTAGCCGAAAATGTCGACATCAGAAAAAGCACTACAGGGTATGTCTATACTCTAGGAGGAACTACAGTGAGTTGGTTTCTCAACTACAAAAGATAGTTGCTCTCTCCACAACTGAAGCAAAATATGTCGCTGTTACGGAAGCCAGCAAGGATATGGTTTGGCTCCAAAGTTTCTTGGAAGAGTTAGGCAGGAAACAAGAAAACAATGTCTTGTATTGAGACAGTCAAAGTGCTATCCATCTAGCAAAGAATCCGTCTTTTCATTCCAGGACGAAGCACATACAATTGAGATATCATTTTATCCGGTCTCTTCTGGGAGATGAGATTTTGAAACTTGAAAAGATTAGTGGAGATCAAAATCCGGCAGACATGTTGACAAAGACGGTGACTACGGACAAACTGAAGTTGTGTTCAGCTTCTGTTGGCATGCTAGAGTAATAAGACCAGAAATACTGTTGCATTGATCGAGGTTTGAAGACAGATTAAAATCAGTCTTCAAGTGGGAGATTGTTGAAATTCAAAGCCACCGGCTGCTTTGAATAAATGGTGGCTTAGAATTAAAAACATGGGCTACTAAATATTTTATTATTTTGTAATAAGAATAATTACAAAATCGAGTCATTGAAATTTAGGGTATTTTCAAAGATTAGTCCCTAAGCTTCAACTATAAATACCCTAGCTCATTTAGCTTCAAAATCATCCCAAAATATTCTAGTTCTCTCTCAAGTGTGTTTTGTAAACACCTGTAAATTTTCTCTTTAGTAAAAGATGCATCAGTCCGGAGACGTAGACAAAATTGGATGAACTCCATTATCAATTTCGGGTATTGTTTTCCGCTTTTATTTCGCATTCTCACTAATCTGGTTATAGGGAAATTACTCGTTACTCGGTTTATTTCCCAACAACTAGAATAGCCAAGGTGATTTTCTCCCTCAAACCATGGAAAAAAAAAAAACATAATCGCAAATTCCAATAGAGCACCCTGACTTTTAAAGCTTGAGAGACGACCAAGTCATTCCCTTTTCACATCATGAGTTCCATTTACCATGAATTTTCATTTACCTAGAAATGTTGAGGGAGACAGACTCCACCGAAAGCTCAAATTCGCTGCGCATGAAACTCGATATTCCTAAATATACCAGCACCATAGTTTCAAAATGGCCAAAAGACGAGTCTCCTGCATTCCATTTATCCTGAAGACTTCAAACTCCAATGAGAACCACACTCCTCAAACTAGAGTTGACAATGGAAACTCCTAGCCTCAAATAAGACATAAGATCAAAACTCCCAAATGACACCCTAATAATCGAGAACTACTCACTTGAATCCAGCCCCATAATGATCCAAGACTAAAGCTTCATCTTACACAACAACGATAAATACATAGTAGAACGCCATGGGTTAGCAGTAGAGAGATCACATAAATTTACCTCTGTCCCAAATCACTGTTAGACCACCTAACCTTGCTTCAACGGGCGAAAAGGAAAATTCAAACTCATCATCCATTCATATCCTCTTCACCTCCTCCATTGAAAAACCATCCTTAATTTCTTGTAAAAGAATCATATCCACCTTTGGTTCTTCATGTAACCTTCGAACTGTCTAAACTTTTATCTCCGGGCTTAACATTCCAAGTTAAAACCTACATGCTACTCTTATCTAAAATTGCAGCACTAACCTCCTACCTTCTGTTCCCCTTTATTCCTGATCTAATAAAGCAATTTCCCCCACCACTTCTTCCTCATCACCCACTATCTCAGTTCCAAGATGCTTACCCAAATTCAGCGATCGCCTAGCCTCCTTTGTGAGTATATTCCACCGCGCCAATAACTCTGAGTCTGATAGAGACGTACTTGAGAATCCAACGATCGCGGTTCTTTCTTATTCTTTTTGTTTCTTCGTATCGCCCTGTCTCTCTTCTTCTTGTCAGATCAGAGATTACTTTGTTCTGGAGATGTAAAAGAGAACCATATCTCTTGCCTCTTTATTATCACTACGCAGTTCTAGGAAAAATGCCTTAGACCCTTCCATGTCGCTATTGAGTACAAGTCACTGAAACACATACTTATGATCACAGTCATAGCTCATACACTTGTTCTAAGCGTCAGCATTCAAAATCTGTCATTAGCTCGAACTCTTTGCATCTGTAGAATCTTGCAATAGTTGACATCGTAGATCGAGTGTGTTCTTGTTCCGACTACAAGAATTTATATGAGATTAGCAGATCCCATATGTTCATGAAAATGCTTGTTTATAAAGATTTAACTCAAAGTCATGCAGGATTTGCGGATAGCACACAATCAAAGAGAGGAGAAATTGACACAAGTAAATGGAAATTAGGCAAACCATATCATCCAATAAACAACAAAACAGTCAATCTTTTACAATCAAGGCCTAAAACCCACTGTAGAGCCCCACTTCCCAAATAAGAAAAAAATGGTTCTTCAAGATATCATTGCTACAGGCACATCTTTATAACAGATGAAATATTAAATCTACTGTATCAGCAACAAATAGGACATTGTATCAATCCATTTTCATTGCACTCACCACACATTATCTTCTTCTGTTCTTTATCCAAAACCTTGAAGCTCCAATTGCATTGTTTGCACATCACAAATCTCACCCCTCCACAGTCTTTACACCTGGGAACCATCATGGGGATCCCTTCAAACAAGATTTGAGCTCCCCTTCCTCTCTCTTCCACTCCGCCAATCGACCTTCCATTAACAAAAACTAGTGGAACTTTCATTTCTTTTGTTCCTTTTAGCTTCGATGATGGATCTCACCGTGTTGCATTCCTCAAAGGTCTTTCTGATCCCTTTCAATGTTGTAGTGTAGACCACAACTACATTTTCTCCACCTGCAGGGTGTTTTGGCTCCAAATCTTGAAGAACGACCTTCGAATTGTGAGATTTCTTCGATTTTCGGGTTTCAGGTTCGGGGGAAATTATTATCTTGATTTGTTCCTCTACTTCAGACAACTCTTTTTCGTGCAAGAAGGTTTCCTTGGCAAGTGAGATCAGTACTTCTTGAGAAATAAAGGTAAATATATATATATCGAAAACGAAGATGAACTTTCTTCTTAGATTGCTTTTCGGTATCCATATTAAATCAATTTTAAGTGCAAAACATGATTCAAGATTTCCCAAAGTCCCTCAGGTCTAGATATTATTTTCATGTCAAAGCAAATCTGACATCAATTCTTGCTAACTCTGACTGATTTATTACAAACTTGGAAATGAAGGGAGGAGCTGAGCCACCACAAAAGAAAAAGGGAAGGAAGAACTCCATGCAGATGCTGAAAACAGCCATGTTAATTTCAGCTGTAGCAGTTGCGGTGGCTGGAGTAGTTATTGTCATAACCAAGAAACTTAAAGAGAAATGAACATATATTTATACATATACATGGTTGCAGGATGATGTAGCTAGCCAAAAGAGTGTTAAAATCTAGCAAATTCAATCCTTTTTTTTCTCATTTCAAGTTTATTTGTTTTAGATTTTTTTGTAAGTTATAACTACCATTATTTTGCCCATTGGGGCTTTTCCTTATTCCATTCATACTAAAACATTGATTCAGAACTTCCTTCTGTTACCACTTACATTTTTTAAGATTTGAACTTTTGTATTAAGGGAACAACTCACAAATACATTTGGACCAGTAAATATATATAATAGATATTGAAAAAAAAGTTGAATATATTAAGTATTTAATACATAAACTAGTTCCCCATGCAATACATACAGATGAGTCAGACGGCAAAACTTAACGATAGAGCCTTAGAAAAAAATGAATTAACATAAAGTCCAATGTAGAAGGGTTTCAATTTCCATCCATTCTAACCTCCTGATAAGGATCGGAAGAAATGTTTGAGGCTTATCACGAAGTTGATCCACCATTGACCACCCTTCCTTCCCATACAATTTGGCTATGAAACTGAAATTGTATTCCGGAAAAATTGTTCTTGATTACCCCATCCCTTATCGCTCTATCCAGCTTTGTAGCATTCTCTCTGGTGGAACGCATCCATACCTTCCACATATCCATGATGAACAATTTGTCTTCTCTTTCGTTCAACTCCTTTTCTGCGGGGCTTATACTCTTTTCAGCGGGTGCCATGAAGTACGATCCCTTACAAAAGCAAGTACGGTTGAGAACTTGTTTTTCAAGTTCAATGTCGCCCTTGCAACTAAGTCTTGCAATCTCTTTCGGAAGAACCCGATAGCTTTCTGTCAATATCTCATCATCAATCTATTCTTCTGCTTTCTTCTTCCCCACGTCATCCATCTTCATCTCATCAATTTCTTCTTCTTTCTTCTTCCCCACGTCATCCATCTTCCCATCATCAATCTCTTGAAACTTGGGAAGTAATCGTCTATCTTCATCTTCAGATCAAGCGTTGTTATAATTCCTGTGCCATAATCGTGAAGGCATCATAGCAACATCAGATAATCTTCGAAATTGGTTTCCTTCTTAACTTTTTCACAGAACCTTAACGCTTGATCAAGATGATCCATTTTGTTGAATGCATTGATATTTCCAAGGGAAGCATACCTCTTCCTTTTTATGCGGCTCCGTTTTGATTCAATTGATTCCATCTGAACAACTTTTTTCACAGAATGGCTTCTTCTTTGAATCGTAGGTGGCAAGAAAATGTTAGGTTTCTTTTATATTTTCGATCTCTTTCAAATGAGGTTTTTATAATTTGGATGCTTTAAAGGGAGTGACGTTTACTTAGTCAACAAGGGCAAATGTTGAAGGAATTTAACTTAGATTAGGTTAATACTAAAAAATTACTATTATCCCCCTTTTTAAAATAAAATTTAATAAGAAATTTATTTGATACACAGTGTAAAATATAATTTATACGACCATGTTTATTTTAATACTAAACTCTAATATATAAAATCTTAAATCCTATATTTCAACCTCTTCCTAAACCCTAAATTCTAGACTCTAACTCCTAAAATAATACATTAAATAAACATAAAATACAAAATAAATTTGATCATAGATAGTTGGATACAAACTACAGAGTTTTATAATTGTCGTGTGACCCAAGCAAGACAACAAGGTGTTTTTGGAGTTTTGAATTTTTTTAAGGGAAACATCGTTAAGGATAAAGGGTTCTTCAGTCGTTCCCCCTCCCTCAATTTCAATAGTTGGTAAGGGTACATCATGTGTAGTATGATAATCCTAATATTTAATGTATAATGTGTTTATACGGACTTTTTTCTGGCGAAATTTAAGTGATTCCATATTAATTTGATTTTTGTTATAGCTTATATTTTTCAACAACTTTCTAAGATATCTGAATGAGTACAAGTCACAGTAAACAGTGGTAGATGTACGCTTTGGGCAGGATGGGTATACTTTGAAATCCGATTTTTTTTTATATTAGTAGTTCATTTTATTGAGTGTGTTCACCATGAAATTTTATTTATGCCTATCCTATACGAAAAATTATGTTATTACTATACATGTGCCCAACTTGAAAAATATTCTTGGATCAACCATTGACTATGAAGCACATACTTATGATTAGGGATGGACATGGGTCGGTTTGGGTCAAGTTTCGGCCAACCCGACCCGACCTAAAAATTTTACACCCTTCACCGACCCGACCCGATATGAAAAATATATACCCTCCACCCGATCCGAACCCGATCCAATTTTTTGAGATAAAATCCGAACGTGATTCGACCCGACCCAAAATAAAAAAATATTTTTATTCAAGAAAAACAGTGATTTAATTGAAAAGAATAATATATAGAGGGATATTATTGTAATTACTATTAAATATATAAGGTAAACTTATACTTTTTCCGGTTCGGGTCGAGTCGGGTATTTTTACCCTAAACCCGAATCCGACCAAACCCGAACTCAATTTAAAAAAACCGACCCGATCGGGTCAGATCGAACGAAACCCATCGGATTCGAATCCCATGCCATCCCTACTTATAATCACAGTCACAACTCATACACTTGTTCTAGGCATTAGCATTCGAATTCTGTCATTCGTTTGAACTCTTTGCATTTGTAAAATCTTGTAAAATTCGTCATCGTAGATTAAGGGTCTGTTTGTTTCACTGAAAATATTTTTCGGAAAATGTTTTCCATAAAATGAATTACATTTTCCACTAGTTGATGAATTTTTAAAAAAATATTTATTACAAATATTAAATACAATAAATAATATTATTTATCATAAAACTTAATATTATTATTTTTAAAATATTAAAATAATTTATTTATTATTAAAATATTATTTTTTATAATTTTATTAACAAAAATATTAATATTGGTATATTTTATTGAAATAAATATATTATAAAATTATATTAATTATTTATTAAAGTAATAGTGTTATATTATATTTTAAAAATATTAATTAGTATATTTTAAATATCTTTATTAAAATATTATTATATTATTATTAGATATATAAATAATATTATTCATTATTAATAATTTAATAATATTATTTCTATGAAATTAGTAAATAATATATATTTATTAATAATTTATTATATATTATTAAAATAAAAATATAATATCTTATATTATTATAATATAATTGATTATTTTATTATAATATTAAAAATATAATATTATATTATTAGAAATATTAATAAATATATTTTAAATATTTTAATGATTAAAATTTTAATTAAAATATTTTATTAATATTAAACTCATAAAATAAAATTATTTGAGTATTTATTATTTGAAGTGAAAAGTTCGGAAAATGACTTACGGAAAATAAGACCGTAAGTCATTTTCCAGAAAACAAAAAGGAAATTCTGTTGATCAGAAAAATATTTTACGTTGACCAAACATTTTTTCCTCCAACTAAACACTGGAAAATAAAGAAAACATTTTTTCGGAAAGATGTCATTACTGATACTGGAGATATACTCATTAGGTATGATGCCGAATACTCCTTATTCTGATTTTTGCTTTTTACCTACGTGTGAAATTCATCACATGCTAAGTAAACACTTAGTGAGACAATCATAATAATAATAAATGCAATACAACACATAAATATAAATAAATAAAATTACTCAATGAATTACGATCAATTTACATGTATTTCAATCATGTTACCATATATTAACATGAAATAAACCACATATAAAATTTATTACCAATATACTTGTCATCCATTCAAAAGTTCATATGTTTATTCACCCATTTATCATTTATTAACCAATAAACCATAATCCAAATATAAGCTTATAAGAACCCTAGGTACATGAGTTAAATATACACCGAAGTGCTAATACACATAAGGTTGTGTTGTAACACCCATCTTCCGTATATTTTTTCGTACACGAGATACAGATGTCACATCACTTTTAAAATTGTTCCTCATTTGAAAACCCATAAAATTTTGTTTTTCTATATCTGAAAACATAACATTTTTAATATAAAGCAAAACATAAATTGAAATCTGTTACAAAGTTTGACTTAATTAAAATTCGAAGCATTTTTAAATCTTTAATTACATGCCAAATAAGTTTTCCAAAGTAAACTAGATTGTCCTAGTGTCACTGAAGAGTCAACCTTAATTGCTGATCACCACTGCTACAACAACACTCATTACTTAGTTAATCTTTGCTTTTACCTACGCGTGGAAATAACACACGTTAAGCAATTACTCAGTGAGACATAATATTGTAAAGAACATTAAGGTATACATAATTATCTCATGGTTATTTGATTTCAATCTAATTCGTAACATCCATAAGGATTATATAAGTCCCTCTTATTGAAACCAACTTCTTTCATACTATCAACATAAACATCCTTAGTATGTCCAACATATTTTTCTTTTTATTTTTCTTTAGTAACTATTTGTAAATTTCAGTTATGGCCTCTTTTCAGGCCTTAATACATCCATTCATGCATTTTAGTTATGACATCCTTTCATGCCTTTATGCATTCATTCATGCATTTTAGTTATGTCATCCTTTCATGCTTTAATGCATCCGTTCATGAATTTTAGTTATGGCATCATTTCATGCCTTTATGCATCCGTTCATGCATTTTAGTTATGACGTCCTTTCATGCATTTATGCATCTGTTCATGCATTTTAGTTATGGCATCCTTTCATGCCTTAATGCATTCGTTCATGAATTTTAGTTATGTCATCCTTTCATGCCTTTATGCATCCGTTCATGCATTTTAGTTATGACATCCTTTCATGCCTTAATGCATCCATCATGTATTTTAGTTATGGCATCCTTTCATGTCTTTATGCATCCGTTCATGCATTTTAGTTATGTCATCCTTTCATTCCTTTATGCATCCATTCATGAATTTTAGTTATGGCATCCTTTCATGCCTTAATGCATCCGTTCATTTTTGTTATAACATAGTCAATACTATAAAACATACATTAATTTAAACATTCTAATTGGAAGCAATATGAATATTCTTCATCTCAAATAATTACAATAAATGTACTCACCTGGTGATCCCCGCTAAAAAGAGGTAGAGATGCCTGGTTAATCAATAACTTTATCTTTCCCCCTTTTCTTGCTAGATTCAGGAGCTTGGTTACGATGTACACAAGCATCCATTAAGTACA